GCCTCTTATAAGATAAAAAGTAAAGGAAATAAATAAATTAAAAAAAAGTATTATATTATATATATGTATAGTATTACTTTTGTTTTAATAAAATAAATACTTTAAATCCTTTATATTATATATAAATAAAATATAAATTAAGCTAGTTATAATTTTGAATTATAAATATATAATTAAAATAAGGACTTTATTTATAAAGTTTTAAAATAAATATTAAATATAGATAAGGTTTTATAAAGGAATTATACTAAATTTAATTTATATAGATTTATTAATAAAAGTTAAGTTAGTTTAAAGTTATAGCTAGCTTAAATAAATAAATATATATAATAAATTATATAATTAATTAATTAAGGTTATATGTATAAATAAATAAAATAAAATATATTAAAAAGTAATAATTTAAATTAAAATAATTAATTATATATTAGTCTTAATTAGGCTATAAGCTATTATAAATAGGTATTATAATAATAATTATACTTAATATTAATAAGTAGAATTAATATTAATAAGTATACTTAATAGGTATAGGAAAAGTTAGGTTAGGTAATATACTTTATAATAGATAAATTAGATATGTTTTTTAAGAATATTAAAGAAAGAAGGTTAATTTAGATATTAAGAGCTAATATTTATACTATTTAGTTAAGGGAGTAATTATATTATTAAGGTAAATAACCTTATTAAATATTAACTTCTATTATAATAGCTTATTATAGAGGTTATTTTATTTAAGTTATTAATAAAAAAAGCTAAAAAGCTAAATTGCCTTTTATAAGGTTAAAAGTAAAAAAAAAGAACTATTATATTAATAGACTACGTATTATATTAAGCTATATAACTTTTAAAAGTAATATAAATAGCTACTTTTTTATTAATAAAGGCTAAATATATTTAAAGACCTTTTTTAGCTTATTTATTTTACATAAACTTTAATTAATTTAAGTTAAAAGTATTATATATTTTAAATAACTTAACTTTATAAAACTAATTAATTATACCAGGCTATAATTAATAACAGCTATTTTAAATAAATATAATTTCCTTATTTATAAAAAGTTCTTTTTAATAGCTGTAGTTATTATATATAATATATAATAATTATTATTTATAATATACTTTAAGGCTAATTTAATTATAATAATAAGATTATAAATACTTATATAATAGCCTTAAATACGGTACAGGCTATTATAATTAAATAGTATAATAATAATTATATTTAATATTAATAAGTATAATTAATAAAAATAGTTAAGGTAAGTAATATATTTAAATATAATAAATATAATAGGTATAATATATTATAAAAATTACTTAAAAAAAAGTTTTTTAAATAAATTAAATAAAAATAAATAATTTAACTATTAAGAGGTAATTAGTATTTATAGTACTTAATTAAGGTAATAATTATATTATTAAGGCAAATAAATATTATATATTATTTACTTTTATTTATTTATTTATTTTACTTTTAGCCTTATATAAGGCTATTAAGCTTTCTAGCATTTTTATTAATAGCTTAAATAATAAGACTATTATAATAAGCTATTATTATAAAAGTTTAAATTAAATATTATTTATTTAGTTTAATAATATAATTACTACCTTAATTAAGTAATATTTATACTAGTTATTAATAGCTAAGTTAACTTTCTTTTTTAACCTTTTTAAAAAAATATTATACCTTATTTATTCCTAGTTTAAACTACTGCTTTTTTACTAATTTCACTTTATCTATTCTTATATATAAGGTTAATTAGTTATATGCCTTACTATATATATTTAATTAATTAAGTTATAACTTTAAGTTAATTTAACTTTTACTAACTAACTTATATAAATAGTCTTAATATAATTCCTTTAATATATTTTAACTTTAATAGAATTTCTAAACCTTACCTTTACCTTATATTTATCTTAGAACTCTATATATAGACTTCCTATCCTAGCTCTATTCTTATAATTTAAGACTATAACTAGGCTAATTTATATAGTACTTTATTATAAAGTTATCTTTATATATTTATAGGATTTATTTTAATTTTAAATTTTTTTTAATTATTAATTTAAAAGTAGCTCTTTAATAATATTAATTACCTTTATAAATATATTAAAGAGTTACTTTTTATATATAATTAAGCTTATAAAGGTAATAAAAAAGCTATTTTATTTAATTAAAAAAAATAACCTTCTTTTAAGGCTATTTTTAAATCTTTAAGAATTAATAACTTATTATTAACTTAATTTAAACTAATTAAATTAATATAATATCTTTTTTTTATATAATTAATTATTTAAATTAGGTTATAATTAAAAATAATTATTTTAATAAGGTTAAATTTGCCTTTTAATAAGAAGTTCTTTATAATAATAATAACTATTATATATATTATATAAAGGTTTTCTTTATTAGCTACCTTTAAGGCAGGCCTAATAGCTAGATTAAGTTTATAATTAGTTATTTAATAAGTATAATTATATAGCTATAGGCTATTTTATATAATAGATATTAAAGTAATATAGCTATTATATTATTAGTAAAAAGGGTTAAAAGATATAAAAAGTTAGGTTTAATAATATACTAAAGTATAATAAATAAATTAAATATAATATTCCTTTAAATAAGTTAAAGGAAGAAAGTTAATTTAATTATTAAGATATAATTAGTATTAGTATTACTTAGTTAAAGTAGTAATTATATTATTAAGGCAAATAAACCTTATTTAATTTTAACCTTTATTATAATAGCCTATTATAAGGGTCTTATTATTTAAATTATTAATAAAAAAGCTAAAAAGCTTAATAGCCTTATATAAGGCTAAAAGTAAGGGGAAAGAAAACACCTTATTTATTAATTATAAAATATATTTCTTTACTTAATTATTAATTATATTCATTAAAATTAATTATAAATATTATTATTATTAAACTCTTTTTCTAAATTTATAAATTAGTATTAAAAGGTATATTTAAGTATTCTTTAAATTTAATATAAGTTAAATATTTATTACCCTTATAACTAATAAAGCTTTATAAAGTTAAATTATTATAATTAACTACCTTAATTATAGCCTAAACCTAGTTATATATATATTAGCTAAAAAGCCTTACTTACTTATTAGCTAGCCCTAACTTTCTTCTTATAACTTATTTAAAAGGTCTTTTATTAACCTCTATTATATATTATATTTTAATTATTTATTATATAATAAGTTATTTAACCTAACTTCTAATTATAAGTATTAATAGTATTATAGCTATATTATTATAATACTTTAAAAAAGCCCATAATTACTTAATAAGGCCTTTTATATTAAAATACCTAATTTAATTCTTTATTTTGTAATAACTTCTAAATATTATAAATATAAAAATAAGCTTTATAATATAATAATAAAAATTAAAATAATTTAAAATAATAAAAGTAATATTATTTTTATTAAATAAATTAATATAAATTATAAAATCTTCTTATTTAAATATTATTATTATAAAAAGTTAATAATCTTTAAATTTTATTTTAATAAAGAAATTAAATTATTATTAAAACTAAAGTAATTTTTTATAATAAAAAGGCTTATATTAATAAATAATAAGGGATTTATTAAAGATTTTAAATTAAATATTTTAATTAAAATTTTATATAAATAATAGCTTAATAATATAAAGAAATAATTAATAAAGCTAATAAAGGCTATAAAGCTAATTAATAGCTAGTAAAGATAAGGGGGATAATATATTATAATACTTATTTATAATAGCTTATAGCTAAATTAAAGCTATTATATAATTAATTTTCTTTTTCCCTTACTTTTAACCTTTATAATATATTATATTTAATTTATTTATTTTAAAGTATATTATCTAACTTAATATTCCCTTTTAATTCTTTTTATTAATAATATAATAATTATATTACTTTAATATTTATATAAAATAGCTTATAATTATATTAATTATACTTATTATATAATTAGCTATAATATTAATTTAATTATTAAGCCTACCTTAAAGGTAATTAATAAAGAAAAACTTTATATTATATATATAATAGTTATTATTATTATAAAGAACTTCTTATTAAAAGATAAACTTAATTTTATTAAAATAATTATTTTTAATTATAATTTAATTTAATTAATTAATTATATAAAAAAAATATTATATTAATTTAATTAATTTAAATTAAATTAATATTAAGTTATTAAGTTTTACAGATATAAAAATTACTTTAAAAAAAGGATATTTTTTTTAATTAAATAAAATAGTATTTTTTATTATATTTATAAGTAACTTAGTTATATATAAAAAATAGCTCTTTAATATATTTATAAAAATAGTTAATATTACTAAAAAGATATTTTTAAATTAATAAAAGGAGTTTATATATAAAGTTAAATAAATATATAGTAAAGGCAGGGTTTTATAAAAATTTAAAAGAATTATATTAAGTTTTATATAAGTTAGTTAGTAAAAGTTAAATTAACTTAAAGTTATAACTAAATTAATTAAATATATATAATAAGGTATATAATTAATTAACCTTATATATAAAAATAAATAAAGTAAAATTAATAAAAAAGTAATAGTTTAAATTAAGGAATTAATTATATATATAAAATTAAATAAAGTAAAATTAATAAAAAGGATTAATTTAAACTAGGGATTTAAGGTTATATAAAGATAATAAAGCCTTATTATTTAATAAAGTTATTATTATAATATTATTATTATAATATTTTTATTATTTTTATTAATTAAAATAATTTTTAATTTATAACTTATAAATATAATATAATATAATATATTTAAATAAAATTTTTATATTAATAAATAAAATATATTAAGTTTTAATTTATTTTTATAAATCAAGCTTATACTCTTTTATGTATTCTTTTTCCTTCTTACTTAAGCGCCTCCCTTACTTCCCAGTTTTCAATTATCTAGACAGATCAAGGCCGCCAATCCATTTAGTCAATCAGCACCTCAGCATAATGTCTATCCCGAACGAAGCACTGCAGAAGGTATGGCCGCTCTCCGAATAGAAATCCCTCCATTGTCCTTGGGGGAAACAGCATTTTACTACGTCTCAGCCCTACTGACTTCCGACGTGTAGCTGGTGCGAGAGATCGAAAGCCAGGCGCTGGTAGCCCAGCAGCAGATAGGCCTTGCCCGGACTCAAATGACATCGAAACAACGAGAGCAACGCCTCGTCAAGCTCACACTCAGCGAAATGGCCAGTCTGCCCCAAGACGCTGTCGTGTACGAAGGTGTCGGCAAAATGTGAGTGCCTCTCCTTTCGAAGCTGAGCCATCCCCTCCTCTTTTTCAGAAGAACCCCGCAGCTCCTTGACCCAAGCTTGGTCACTAACGGCTGGCCGTTTTGGCGCCTCTTTATAGGTTCGTCTCGCTTCCTGTGGATTCACTTCGCCAAAAGCTTGAGGGCCAGACACAGACTTTGGAGGGAGAGGTGGACAAACTGAGCCAGCGATTGCTTTATTTGGAAACAACACACAAGAATAGCCGCGAGCATATTGAGCAGATGCTCCGCACCAAGTAAACTAAGCGCTGAGTGTTACGCACGATCAATTAACGTCTCTCTATTTCTGAGGGTTACTCTTTAAACGCTGCGAAGTCGTCATTCTCGTTCAAACGTGCTCCAGAAATGTTTCAACAGGCGCCAGGCCTCTTTCTTCCCAGCCCTACAGCTGCGCCGCGCATTTAACCCACCATGTGCACACCAACACAGAAGCCGATGTGACCCCCGAGACTCTGCTTACGGTGGGTTTACCTTTGGTTTGGGTCGAGATCGTCTCTGTGGCCGTAAGACGCGAAGCATGGCGCCAGTCCCGATCAGGAGGGTCGCTTTGGCAGCTGAACCAAGCGACGAATCTGCTGGCTTCAACTTGAGATGTTACCGATAACCAAGGTACCGATCATCATGATAGCTCAGTGTATTCCAAAGCATGAAGGGGCATTCCTTTCGGTCTCTTTGTCTTCCAAGAGTCTCACCGCCGGTTGCCTGCTGTAACCCACCTCAAGCTGACAGCATCGTGCGACCCTGATTCCTCACCATCATCACCGATTTGTGAGCAAACACCGACCGACAGACAAGGGACCATGTTCAATTTAGACAGGAATTAGTTTAGCCCCCACCAAGTTTCAGTTCAGCCCCCCGCCCCCTCCCAGAGTCCAGCCCTACAGCCAACATGGAGTGTTAAGGTCGGCACGGAACCGCGGTCCCCTCCGACGGACGGATGGTCTAAATGTCTGTGGGTTATTTATTCATCGACGCTGTCGCTCCTCTTTGTCCCCTCTCTCGTCTGACTCTTCCCTCCGTTTTCAAGCGGTAACTATTCTGACCTGGTGTCTTCCAGCAGCACACCTGCCTGTACGATCACGTTCGATATTGTCATCTTTGTCTCACTCAAATCGCTATTCTTTGCTCATTTGGTTCTGACTATCCGCAAAGATGAGCCGAAGTAGCTATAGTTACGACGATGAGGATGACTACGACATCCGCTACCAAAAGCGAGGACCATCGCCTGGCATCCGATATGTTGCGAACCCGCAACGTACTCAAAACTATTACGACGCACCTCCTGGGCCCAGTTACATTGGAGCAGACCGCCTGAATATTACAACCATGCATCGTTCTCGCTCCCGTTCTCGTACTGGTGAGCTTTCTCGAACTCGAGAGCGCCGCGCCAGCAGTCCTCCGGCCCCTGTTCCGGTAATTATCAACAACAAAATATACAATGATCTCTCCTCCGATGATGAGGATACTCGTCGCAAACAAGTTGCGCGCTCTTCGCGACGGCGTCGCTCTCGCTCTCGCTCCCGGTCGTCCTCATCCCGATCTCGATCATCTTCTTATATGACTCGAGAAGAATGGGAGGCTGAGAAAACCCGCAAGGAGCTTGAAGATCTACGCCTTACCACGGCGCGTGAGAAGGAGGAGCGAAGACTTGTCAAGCAATACCGTGACGAGTGGGAGGCTGAGCAAGCACGCAAAGATCTTGAGAAGAATCGACTCGCTAGCTCACGCGAGAGAGACGAGCGGCAACGCGAGAAGGATGAGCGACAGCTTGTCAAGGGATATCGCGAGGAATGGGAGGCGGAACAGTCACGTAAGGAGCTCGAGAAGATGCACCTTGCTCATGCGCGTGATGAGGAAGAGCGTCGTCGTTTGAGGGAATTTAAAGAGGAAGAAGAGCTCAAACAAGCCAAGCGCGAGCTTGAGAAGATCAAGGGCCGTAAAGCTCGCGCTGATGAGGAGGAACGCATCAAGAAGGAGATTGAGTTGAGGCGCCTGAAAGAAGAAGACGCCGCCACAGAAGAGAGACAGCGCCGCGAGAAAGAGGCAAATTCTGCTGTTGAGGATTACAAGAGGAGGGAGCTTGAGCGCGCTGCCAAAGAGAAGAAGCTCAAAGACCAGAAGGAGAAAGAAGCAGCTGAAGCTGTTGAGCGTTACAAGCAAGCAGAGAAGGATCGCATAGCAAAGGAAAAGGCCGACAGAGAAGCCAAAGACCGGGAGTATCAGGACCGCCTGAAACAAGACCTCGCCAAGTCAGGACTCGATGATAAGACCATCGAGGCCATCTTGAAGAAGGAAAAGATCAAGAAGGCACAGCCTCAACATCCACAGCCTCTACCGCATCACGCAATGGCTGGTCCAGGTCACCATTATGCCCCGATGCCTGTCCCAGTCAACCAAATCGCCACAATTCCTCCTCCACCCCCTGCCGGCCAAGTTGCTCGACCAACTTATACGCGCATGTCCCGTCGGCATCTGTCAATCGAATCGTTGCGTGAGTTCGGTGTCGAATTTGACTTCGATACGGTATGTAGTAATCTTATTGCCACTTCTATTTGGTGCGTGGTACGGAGCTAACTCTTTCGGCAGGACCCTGACTATCTACTCATTCGACGCTGGGTTCCCGAGTGGGAACAAGACCGACTGTGGAAGCATACCAAGTTGATCCGCGAGAAGCGCACCAAGATGCTTATGGTTGAGGAAAAGCGACACGGCAGAGAAGAGCCAGACTTTGAATGGGTGCGCAAGAAGGATAAGGATAAGCATAGCCGCCGCAGGAGTAAGTCACCAGGATTGTTGATGTACTTGGCTGGTGCGCGGCCGGCATAGACTCGATGGACGATGAAATGTAAATTGCGAGCGACTTGTTCTACATTAAACCAGCCAAGAAGTGGCTCTCTACTTTTTGTCTTTTGAGGCGAGTTGTTGGTACAGTTGTTATACACAATTTACAGTTACTTTGCTCCAGCTCGGCGAATCAACTCCTCGTACACCGTCCAAGCCAGTGCCGAACTCATGGCCTTACGACTCATCCGTAACGCTAAGCCATCCCATAGTGACCGAATACCCTCATGTGTTACCATCTTATACCAAGCGTGCCATATATTCCTGTATTCCAGTGGTTGTAATTGAATTCGTGTTTTGACTGCATCGAACGGGTTCGAAACAATGGAGCATGCTGCACCGGCAAGCATGGCGGAAGTGAAGTTGACAGAGCTAGCCAGAGTTGCTTGCATTCTGCTCGGGCCTTCGCCTGACACAACCGGCTTGGATGCCAGTGACCCAAGGCGCGATTTCAGCATCTCGTAGAATAACACGTACATGCCAGCATATGGTGCATCCCGAAACGCCGTGGCACCGAATCCAGAGAAGAAACCACGCCAGCCGTGAGTCCGGCGTATGTCATTGGCAGCCGACATGATGGAGGGATAAGAGTATAGACTGGACTCAAAGCGAACCTTGATCACAGTGAGAGGCATGAGGATAAAGCCAGCAAATGTTCTTGCAACTGCGCCCGAGATGAGGTTGCCCGAATTTGTTAATGAAGGGAGGACTGATGAGCGGCCCTGGGTCTGTAGACGGCGACCCAGGATACCTGTCTGGTGTGCATGCTGGCGAATGGCATTGAGTGATGTGAAGTAAAGAGCTGAGCCGAAGCCCGTACGTAGCGCAGAAGGAACGGTACCTCGCCACAATGACTTTACAAGGCTTGAAGATTGTCTCAGATCACGTATGGTAGCGCTTAATGACGAACTACCAGACTGCTGTACTCGCGTTTTGAGAAGATCCAGAGGTTGCAGGAGAACGGCTGAAGTAACGCCGGAACCAAGGCCAGATATAAAATGCCGGGCTATTCAGTTGTGTCAGACGGTGAATATTGAATGAAGCCCGCAGAGGCCGAACCACACCGAGACTTCGGTATATGGAATTGACCAAGAATAAGGCATACCTGAATTGGCCGATCGAGAGGCTCGGGGCTCGGTCATTGGTAAGGGCACAGCAGCACCATTGTGTTGAGTTGGGGAGCCAGCAATTGAGATACCCATGGCTAGTCACAGACTCGAGCCACCGGGCATGTCGGGGAGATTGAATGAGTGACGTGACGAGATAAAATCGCACCGAAAGCCTGGACCCCACTGCGTGAATCGGCCCCGCTTTAATGCATCTTGCACGTGTTGGTAGAGTGCGAGCAACGGGAGACATGGATCAGTTCGCGCCAACGCCACTGGCATGGTTACCCCGATAGTCGCCGATTACAGACTCAAGACGTCCAGCCAGAAGACGATGCCGTTTGACAAGCTCAACCCATTCATTTACACCAATCGAAGCCAGAAGCATGCCAAAATCAGCCCCCAGCCTCCCCAGACTGCCCGCACAGTAAAGCACCTGCGTCAAAATGCTTTCCCTCGATGTCTGGTCTTTGACGGTTGGCAGATAGATACGCAGCGTTTCGACAAGCATCTCTACCATATGTAAAGGAAAATTAGCCATTGGGGAAGGCAGGACTCTCAAAGGGTCAGTTTCGTCGTTCCCGTGCGATGCGAAGCTCGAATTTATGCTCTTAAACACAGAGACAATGCTAAAGCTCTGTTCGCGAAAGATCTCGATAAACCGTTTCAGGTAACGCTCTGTCTGTTGGCCGCCTGACCACGTGCTAGTAGCTTTGTCCTTTCGAAGTCGTTCCTCATCTGCTAGGTCTCTTAGTGGTTCCAATGCTTCTAACGTTGTCAAAAGCGTGGACAAGCGGCACACCAGGAAGACGGCCGGGAGTGCATCTTCAGTTGACGCGTCAGTCACCAGATCCGGGACGATCCGTTTGAGCCAGCCTATCGTTCGAACGGCAGCGGCAAGCTTGAGATTGGGTGCTTTGAGCGTTCCAATGAGATCTGCAGCCATCTGTCGAATGGCAGCGTCCGCCTCCTCTAGGACCGAAGTGACAAGCGGTGAGTCTGGGTATAGGGAAGCAAGGCGTCGGACATGTGCGTAAAGCTCGAGCGTAGAGGAATGATTGACCGGGGCTGTCGAGACAGCGGACGAAAGAAGGAGAGGCATTTCCATAACATCAACAAGACGTTCCGAGTTTCGAAGTAGCAGAAGAGCCTGCTTTCTCCGCGCAAGTAATTTACTCTCGCTGGCCTTGCCAAAAGCCGACGAGAAGTGTTCCGCTTGCGCATCTAGTCGGGGTACTGCCTGGACAAGGTCTGAGGCTCGCTGGGCCAGGATCGGTAGGGAGGTTCGTAACGAAGCATGGCTCGCGGCTGAATCGACGACGGGTTTGTGTGACCTCTTCGAAAGCGCTTGTACGGCAAGCAGTAGGGAGTGGGAGGTTTGAGATAAGACTTGAGGCTCGGATGCTTGAAGGAAGCTGGACTCTTGTTCGGCAAGATAGGTCAGGTACTCCAAGGCAGATGGGTCATTCGCCAGATCGGGTGCCAGCAGATCTCTTAGAGCTTCCGCCATGGTGGTCTGGAGAGTCGTGTACGGATGATGCGGGATGATGCGACGCGAAACAATGCACTTGAGGTGTCAAATCGTCTAGCTTCAGTTGATTAGAAAAGGGGGTATATTAGGACAGTAACGATTGAAAAGTCTGATCACGAGAGTGAAGAAATGAGATCTTGGAACGAACTATGGGTCTGGCAAGCTCCCAAACAGATACGTCTGTGACTGCTCGCTCGTTGACGATCTGGTGTTCTAAATGAGTGAGGTGGCAGCTGGCCTGTCTGCCTGTAAACCAGCTAGGCTACAGAGATCTGGTGGGGTGGCAGAATGATGGCAGCACACTGCCAACATCAGACACTGTACATACTCCGCACCCCTGTCAGATCGGATTACCTAAGGTCTCAACGTCCAGAAATAAACTGACTTGAGCCTATCAGAAAGCCAGAATTGTGCTGGCACGGTACGAATAACGGAATAAGCTCCTAAGACAGATCAAAATGCGACCATCCGGACCCTTACCCGTGCTGTTCCCACGTGAGCTTCCCCAACAGACGTGACCAGGCGAATGAATATCAAGCTTCCGACTCGAGGTATCCTTTAATTGCGCGCCGCCTTGCCTCGGTTCATTTAAAGTCTCTGTTCCTCCACATTCTTTGTTCCTGGTCCTCTTTCTTGATCTTTTCGCTGAGTTCTCGCGATCACAAACCTCAACCGTTTTGCACCTCCAATTCATTCCGACAGCATGAAAGATCCATTTCCTTGGCAGCCTTTGCCCTGGCTATCAGAAAAGACACAGCCCTGGGCCGACTATTTCGACCTGCCAACTCTCCCGCTGCACATACACGAAGTTCTAGCCGCAGCGTTATTATACTCGGTCATCTTCTGGCCGATATCGCCATGGATCTCAAACCTTCTGGCCCCGGAGCACTACTCCAAGCTTCCTCGCAAGCGACGGCTTAACTGGGACGCACACGTTGTTTCCATGGTTCAGAGCTGCCTAATCAATACTCTGGCTATATGGGTAATGTTCGTCGATACTGAGATGAGTAATATGGAATGGGAGGAGCGTATTTGGGGTTATACTGGTGGTGCTGGCTTCATCCAAGCGCTTGCAGCTGGGTACTTCCTTTGGGATTTAGTGGTCACCAGCATTAACCTCGATGTCTTTGGCTTGGGAACCTTGGCGCACGCCGTCGCTGCATTACTTGTCTACTCGCTCGGTTTCGTAAGTTAAACATGATAGTATGTTCCTTTGTCTCTACTAATCAGCTTTCATTAGCGTCCGTTTCTCAATCACTACGCCTGTGTTTTCATCCTCTGGGAGTTATCCACACCTTTCCTCAACGTCCACTGGTTTATGGACAAACTTAACATGACTGGTACACGCGCGCAACTATACAACGGCATCATGCTTCTTTTCACCTTCTTCTCCTGTCGGCTTATTTACGGAAGTTATTCGTCCTTCCGTGTTTACCGTGACGTGTGGTCCGCCATTAACGTCAACCCCGACATGAAGGCACTCAATTTGCCAACTATGTCATTTGCGCACCCAGACTCCACGGTACCCATGTGGATTGGCGTCGCCTATTTGGCAAGCAACATTACCCTGAACAGTCTTAACTTTTACTGGTTCTTCATGATGATTCGAGCCGTACGTAAGCGGTTTGTGCCTGCGGCTGAATCGGAGGAAAAGGTTCAAGAGAGCCCAGTGACTGAGGCTGAAATTGACCTGTCTTCCGTAGCAACAGGGTTATCAAAGCCCAGTGGCGGTCGTCGCCGCAAGGCTTGATCGAGTCAGGAAAACCAGCGCGTCTAGTTGCCTTGTATTCTCAGACGTTTTGGGAATGCCCTTTCCGTTGGTCGAATTTGTTGTCGGGTGGTAGCTCGCCTTGGAAGAATATTCAGACTGCTCCTATGACATTTCTGCTTGCCGAGCCAGTATGCTCAAGTTTCAATAACTTCAGACCATAAATACAACTCTATGGTACGGAAGAATTCACTCGGTCTTGTTATTTTGTTTGATCATTTCATCCCTGTGGCCCCTTTTTTGATTCGGTGGCCTTTTGTGTATTACCACATCGCCACTTACCAGGAAACCTCGCGTGGTCAATGTTTTACGTTCTTTCACGACTTTGTATAGACTTATAGATGAGAATATTAGAAAAGACTGACCCGGCTTGTCCAGGAACAGCCATAAATATACTATTATTATTCCACACCTGACTCCCAGGTTGGTTCACCCGACAAAGTCTACATATACATACAAGATGTGAAGAAATGTGTCCAGAGTATTTGCAAACATGACGAAAAGACGTGCGATGACGACCAGTTTTCACAAGCTTTTCAAGAATTAAAAACCAAAGGGGTTCTGGGGGGCTATAGAGAACATTAGCATTACACATATACAGGTGAAATCATTTCAACGTACTCGCTTGCGCCAAGTTAGCCCTACGCCCTGTTGCTTGAGGCGCTAGTTTCTTGGTCTCATTTGTCACGCCAAATCGCACGGGAGGGGGTGGGCCAGACTGTTGTGGTTGCAGAGGCTGAGGGACTTGTGCGTTATTCATACCACCAATACCACCCATGTTCGTCATGCCAGTAGCTTGGGGCTGCAAGCCTGGCATACCTGTTCGCTGGGGTTCGAGAGCTGGAGGCAGGTAGCTGTTGATACCTCCTGTAGGTGCTCCATACATCGACTGCGTGGCGGGAAAGGATGGTTGAAAACCTGTGGGTTGAGCTTGCATTAGGGCAAACTGATTCGGTCCCTGCATTCCTGTCATCATGGGCTGCATGAACTGTCCGGCACCGGTAGGGAAAGACATTAAGCCAGGGCCTTGTTGTCCTGGAAATCCAGTCATATTGGGCTGCATTTGCTGAGGGGCTTGCTGTTGCTGCATCTGAGCCGTGTATTGCTGCTGCAGGCGGGCTTGTGTGATCTCGCTCAGGCTCTGGCCGGGAGGAGCAACTTGGCCTTGCAGAGCACCCGTCATCTGAGGCATCATGGGAGGAGGGGCAAAACCGCTGGGCTGAGCTGATTGCGGAGCTGAAAGAGGTCGCTGAGGTGGTGGAGGAACAAGAGAGCCCTGGTTCGCAGTACCTTGTGGCGGAGTAGGACGTTGTCGAGCCTGAGCAACAGATGTAAAGAATGAGGGGGTAGCGCCGCCCAACGGTTGCGACACGGGTGTCGAGGTTGGCTGAGCAGCGATGACAGGCGCCTGGGCCGGGGCGGGTGCTGGCTCAGCCCTGGTGGGTTCGAGAGGCGTTGAGAGAAGCGATAACTCTTGCATGGAGCCAGTCAAGGCCGGAGGAGGGGGTGAAACGGGGGCAGGCTCAGGAGCAGGCTTCTGAGTAGACTCAACAGGCGGCTGAGCTTTAGGCGGCGATTGCTGCTTGCTTGGCTTCACGTCCCAAGCATCGTCGTCGAATCCTGAGCTCGCTGCTTGACGAGTTTCGGGGCTCTTGTTCGCAGGGCTTGTGGGCGGGGGTGACTTGCTGTCATTACCACCAGTCTTGGAGGAATCGCCTCGCGAAAAGGCACTGGCATCAACAACATCACTTGTTTGGATTGCTGGTGCGGGTCGGCCCTTGCGGGTGTTGTTTCGTAGCGCACCGCCAGGTCCAGAGAATAAACCCCCTTCACCATCAACTCCATCGGCACCTCCTTTCTTCCCACCGCGACTGCGGCCGTATTTGGCATCCAAGGTGCGCATGACCTTAATGATATCACCTTCACGAATTCCAAGGGCTCTCAAAGTGGTGGCGTCAACATCAGGAAGCACGCTCTCGTCCATCGAATCCTTGATAAAGGCTTGTGCATAGCGCTCACACAAGCCCACTGCAACCTCGCAAGACAAGAAGAACTGAAACCAGTCGTAGTCAGACTTGGGATCCTTGTCAATCGTTGCGCCTGCCGAAGGGCTGCGTTCGGGGGATTTCTTTTCAGCAGACCTGGCTCGCTTGACGTCTGCCAACGGCTTGTCGTCTTCCAGGGATATACCTGTGAAGTTTTCAACATACTCGAGGTCCTCGCGCGACATTTTTGTGATAGGAACTGCAATCTTGACACCATTCATCTTATGTAAGTGGATCTTCCCGTCCTTCAGACCAAGGAATTGGGCTTCCACACTGAAAGACCGGGATCGGTCTGTCCAGGTGCGCACCTTGGACGCGTCAGGCTCTATCAAAGTCATGTCAGTAGATGCACTAAGCCCCAAGACTCACATCTGGGTCAAGAAATCTATCAAATGCTGACTTACTAGACTTCGATCGGCTTTGACTGCCGCCATCACTTCGTCCATTTTCTCGACGGCTCCGCTGTTGTCCTGAATTACTACCAGTTTCTCGTGCCATGAGGCTACTGCCTCGTTCGGGAAGAGGCATTCCAGGTCCTACCTGCTGAGGTTCTTTGCCAGCCTTCATGGCTTCCTTGGTCAATCGGATTTCCTCGAGGCGATTTTGTTCGACGAGAGATTTGGCTGAGTTTATGCCGCTAGATGAGGGCAGTGGGATAGAGCCGGTAATCTCAATATAGCTGCTAGGGACGACTCCTTCTTTACCATTCTTGAGCCGGCGAACTTGCCACCACTCTTCGCTCTTCGTATCGTCGATAACAAGCACCTCATCTCCCACAGCAACAGTTACCTCATCGTCACCTTGGGCCATGAAGTCATACAGCACCTGACCTTTCTTCTGGCCACCGCCACTGCTACCTTGTGTCCCAGCCATGATCACCTCACGGAGTCCTTCGGCACGTACAGCACCAGCCAATTCGCCCAACATACTGACAATCTCCTCGGCTGTGTCCTTTGCTCCGGCGTGGAAGTCGACGCTCTTGCTTGGGCGCACAAGCTCCATAAAAACGTGCTTTCCCTCCCGCGAGTAATGCGTCATGCGGTCAGCAGTCCATTCCTGTGAAGGTCCATCAGAAGCATGCTCTGGAGCAACCAGTATGATACCTGTTAAAAGATTGATTCCTAATGTTGTGGGCATCTTCTTCTTCTTGCCCATGATAGAAATCATTTCGTTGATGTTATACATATGAAAGCCGCCAGGAGTACGCTCAACATCTTGGCGACGATCTGGGTCCCTATGGTCTTGGAAACTGCGGGTGTGTATAGGGGAGGCGGGTTCGTCATAAGTTGGAGATGGTGGCGCTGGTACCCGTGGTCGGGCTGGCAGGGTCGGTGATCGGACGGGCTCGTCCTCAACTTCGGGGGGTTCGCTAAACGTGACGGACGCACGAGGGGGTTGTCGTGGAGCGGCAGGTTGCTGAGATTGTTGGGAAACTGAGCGACCATGCATGACGCCTGCGATAGCAGCAGCAGGGTTGGGAGGAGTATCATTCGGTAGATCCGGAGATGCCGCCTCTGGCTCGGGGGAGGAGATCGAGGGAGCCTGTGGTGGTCTTGAAGGTAGCGCTGGCGGCGGAGACGGCAACGGCGGCTGAGCAGACTCAGCAGGTGCGCCCATTTCGATGTAGTTGGAGGGGACAAAGCCATAATCGCCATCGAGGCCAGTCAGGATCCAGTCGGGGTCCGACGTGTCGTAGACAGCAAGCGTAGCATCCTCATGAAACGACAATTCTTCATCTGTCTGGCGCGTGTAGTCGAATAGAGCTCTAGCATGGTCTACTGGCTGGGCCTTTGAAATTAAAGAAGGATATTTTAGTACCAGTGCTGTGATGGTGCTGTGGTTGCTCAAGGCCAACTTACCTCCTCGATATAATTACCAGGAATAAGGCCGGTTGGCTCTTCCTCGTCGTCAGCTCCAGCCTTCTTCTTTGCCTTCCACCAGCCGTCGTCGCCATTCTTGTCCAGGATAAAGAGCAAGTCTCCATCGTTTATTGCGAGCTCGCCCTCAGCTTGGGGCACGTAGTCGTAGAGAGCCCGGTACACTCCCAGGAACCCCATATCGAAGGTCTTGATTCGGCTCGATCGGTTGCAGCGCGGGAGTAGGTCCCTTCAGCGGGAGCCCCTTTAAATTAAGTATAGGAAAAGGATAAAAAAAAGGAATTGAAGGGGTTGGCTGGAAGTAAGACGCTACGATGCGATGCGATGCGATGCGAAGTGACGCAGTGCGTCGTTTGTCTGAGGAGCAAACGACGGGCTACCTTGGTCAGGCAGGTATGGACCGATCCGACGTACCGTACCTTCCCCCTACCAACTTCATTAACCAGAATCTCTGATTGCGGTATAATGGGGGTGTAAAGGGAGATCCACTGCGTGCTAATCCGTCTGTGAGCGGATTGGCTCGCCAAAAGCGGAGCATTACATGTGCATATTGTGCGTCACCCCTTTATCTGGCGCAGGTTGGGCCTTAAAGTAACGTCAGCTTAGAACCAAGCACCACTAGATAAAGGCTACCCTACATCTTGCACACGAGTCAGAACATGCGAGCTTCATCTAACCCCCCAGATGCCAGATGATAGAGGATTATAGGTGTGAATAAGCCATCAGTGGTAATGATTGATATGTTCTTTGGGGCTTTCTGCCATAGGTTATAGTTTAATAATTATGCCAATACATAAAAATGTAACAGACTGGACAAAAGCTGGTAGGTAATATCCACAGAGCATATGTACTTAAACAATACACATAACGGTATTGCCATTTGTTTGTATACATTATTTATCTTGTCATCATATAACTTTCCCTAACCAAACGCCGAAACGAGAGCAAATGCCTGATTACTCAATCCACGTGCGCCGTTGTCTATCCACGCCTGTCGAGTGTCCAATTGTTCATCCATTCCAATTCCTAAAGCAATTCTATTCACAGTATTCAAACAATTGCACATCTAAATACACGGCTGTGACTAGTGAAGGTCAAGTTTCAGGACCGAAAATATCGTCTTCAGTGTCACGGTCGTCACTGACTTGGGCAAGATTTCGATGGCTACCTGTGCGGTGTCCACGAGTAAAAATGCCTGGGAACATTTTCGGGTCGGTTCCAGAAAGATGATGGTCTGACATAGGATCACTGGGCCATGTTTGATCTCGGCCAGCCGACAGACCAACCTGGGATGCGACCTTTGCAATGTGATGGCCAACCGGTGAAGACGTCTCGACGTTGGCAGTCTCATTACCTGTTGCGCCCCCCAAGCCGGTGGTTTGGCCAATCAGGGACGCCGCTGACTCTGACATCTTGCTTTCATTGCCAGCAGCTTGCGCGGGAGGCTCACTCGCAGCATTGTAAGTGACATATTTCGACAGCCTGGGAATAGTCGTGTTAGCATGAAAGTGATCGATCATACAGAAAGGGCCAGCCACTTACACGTCTCTCTCCTGCATCAATGTGAAGTAACGGAATTCTTCTCTTCGATCAGGAACATTTGTCTTAACCATGGCGTTTCCTTCCTTTCCTGGCTTGCTGCAGCCACGCCCTAACCAGTGCTCCTTGATGGCCAACTCGTAACCGCTCTGCTTGACAGAGTTCTTGGCTAGCTCACACATGTCGACCGAGTTCAGCTTGTAAATTTGTGCTGCAACTGCGTACTCCTCGATCAATGGCTCTTTGGTGAAAGCAAACTGTAGAGGATCGTCTGTAGATAGCGAGACATTGAGACCTCTCTTGAAGTACTGGTGGAAAGGATTCCGCTCATAGGCAAGGAACAGAGCGTTGTTACTCAGCGGTGACATGGCGATGCCGATTTGGTCCAGATAGAAGATGTACTGAAGAAGGGGGACTTTGCGTAGGAGCAGTCCGTGACTGATGCTATGGCAGCACAAGGCGGCAACAGCCAAGTGCTCGCTGTCACCGGCTTCTCCACAATGGGGTCGCAGGACCAGCGTGTTGAAACCACGCTTTTTGCGCCAGTAATTCAAGGACACCAGGTTAGAGTAGAGGTAGTAAATCCAGTAACTGTATGGCGGGTTCTGTTTGGTATCCCATACTTTTGGCACAGGGAACTTCTTGAACAGCCGACGCTCGACTTTACTCTCGTCGTCAACACTGTCAAAACCAATCACTCGCTGAAGGAAAATATGCAGCTTCGGATGGCTCGACGGGTCCTTGGTAACTTCAAAGAGTGGCTGAAAGACATTCTTGACCACCTGTTCAAACGTTTCCATGAGACCACTTGCTTTGTAGACGTCGTAAAGGCGAGGGATCTGGATGAGCCAGCGGACATTGTGCGAAAATAGCTTGTTATCAACCACCCAAGCGGCGAGCTTGTCCCACTCATCAATCGATTTTCCATAAATGGAGATGCGCCACTCAACCATTTGATACTTGCTTGACTCAAGATCAGATATGACTTCTTTGGTGATTTCGGCAAGGTAACGGCCATGGATAAAGTTATCTGTCTTAAGGAAGATAGTTCGAAGACGGGACTCTCCAACTGGATTATACTTGAGGTTGAACTTGTCAAAGCGATGGAACGAATCCGTATGAGCCTACAGTAGTTAGTGTCACAGTTCTCCAAATCCAATCTCAAGTTTAGGGAGCAAGCCTTACATGCATGTCCAAGGTATCAATGCTCAGGTCATATGCTGTCAGATTAATACTAGCAAAGACCTCGGCTAGGGTGAGATGTCTTCCATCGCGGAACAGGACCACTTCGTTGGGAAATTTCTTCATCTTACTCTTGATGAAGCGCAGCAGATGTTTCTGGTTCATGCATGCAGAATGATGGACGTGAGTATCCACCTTTCGAACATTGTAAAAGTCTCGATGGGGAACCTTTTTGCTGTCGGCTGTTTCTTGATACTCATTTAAGAGTACATACAGGTTAAATTTACCCTCGAGATATTGGAGACGTCGAAATGCAAAACTCTTACTGGGTCCGTCAGATGAGACGTCCAGAATGTCGTCTAGGTCCATATAGAATTCTCTGATTGTAGGAACCTTGATCGCAGGCGTCTGAGCGTCGTGGCGTTCGAACACCTGATAGACTCCGCTATCATCCAACTTGTATGAACGTCCATCATCGCCCGGCAGAGGCAAAATGTCAGCCATGTCAAAATCCTCTCCAATATCTTGACCTGGCTTTCGCCTTCTTGTGGAGCGTCTACCCTCATGGTGCTCCTGAGGCAACTCTCTTGGTAAGGATCCAGTAGCATCCTTACTGCCGTTCAATCCAGTATTCTCTTGACCTGGTACATGCTCTGCAGTACTTGCTCTTTGCCTCGACGATTGCTGCCATGCCGGCTCTGGCGGAGGGGGGTAAATTTCCCAACCCGGACCGTCTCTTGGGTTATCATCAGGCCCCTGATTTGAGAGGGCGATATATTTGCGCCTAGTGTCGAGGATTCTCTGAATGTTTTTCGAGATGGCACTCAATTCCGAAGTAATATGAGGCTCAGTGTCGAAGAGCCCGCCAGAGGGTAGGCCATTGCTGGAGCCATCAGGTAGCCGTGGGTCCTGAGCAACCTGACCAGCATGAGGAAGAGCAGAAGGATGACTAGGCGGGAATGGGGCAGGTTGCGCATCGAGTTTTGTAGGCGATTGAGTAAACCCCGAGTCAACGGCAGGGTTTGGCATCTCCAAGCCAGGAGGGAAAGAATCGGCTCGACGACCACTCGAGTCTAGCACGAGAGAATCGGCTCCATATTCAGTTGCAGGGCGAGACCCAGAAGCAAGAAAAGGGCTTTGGGGTATAGATTGGTAGCCAGCCCCACCACCGCTTCGTCCATCGGCCTTGTTTCGGTGGTAGAAGTATTTTGCGTCCGTCTGGCTCATTTGACGCTCGGCGACAGGATCGTAAAAAGTCGTTCTCTTAGGCAAGTCGCGGAGAAGCATCCCATCTTCCAGCTCCTCAGCTTCGTTGCCGGTGTGGGAGCCAGCGTCAGAGGGGGTATTGTGCGAGGCGCCATGTCCGGTTGCACCAGAATCTCTAGTCTCGTCTATCTCCTCATCTGACTCTCGTGCCCGCACATCAAGCGCGCTTGATTCGCTTTCCTCGAAGATAGGGCCGCCTGTGGCATATTCTCGGTCAGAAAAGTTTCCAATTGCTGTCGTTATCGTCGAGAAGCAAAGCAGGGTTCGTGATATTGGGTCTGGCGTGGCGGAGGAGGGGCAGGGCGAGCTGTAGAATACGTACCAGCCATGGCGATGCCTTGATCTGAATACGATTTAGCTGGCAGATCAAGTTCCCGCTATTGTGTAACTCCTCTCTCGGATGATGACTTTGAGGAATTGTGGTTAATTCGATATTGATTATCAAGAGGACGATTGAAGCAGAAGAGGAGAAGGCTAGGAAGTGTGCCCGCAGTAAGAGAGGCAAAGACAGAGCCCTTGAAAGGAAGGTATGACGGTGTGACACACCAGGGTTTATAGCGGGTCATAGCGGGACAATGCGTTCGGTGCAATGCACGCCGTAGGCAAGGTGGGGGGTAGAGGTCTCATCTTAACTCTTTGAGGCATCTGCTCGGTATTGAGTTGAAGCTCCACATGATAGTTGCCTCCTGGAACCTCTCTATACTCAAGCCTTACCGGATGAAGGAGGTGTTGTGCGCCTATTTCGAGATAGTAGTAGTTTTTCTCCATGTCCGATATGCATACAAATCTCCTCAAAGCAGCATATTCTTCGAGATAGGACTCCGCAGAAGCGGCACCCGCCGTTCTCCTACAAGACAGGGGTCCTAACTTAGAACACCAACCTTGGCTCGATATCCAACCAGGGAGGCTTATGAAGCCTCACTTTCGGTAGAGCTACAGTCACCCGATCTCAATGTTAAATCCTCGCCGATAAGATCTGCAGGTCACGATTGTTTCTATTAACTGTAAAGTAACAAGATGCAGACAGGACTTGGCATATTGCAAAGAATAAAGATATATTGAAGCATCATCCTCATAGAATCGAATACCATCATGTTGATGGACAACGTACATAGTTTCACAGTCTCTCAGAGCACTGTAAGACACTGAATTCCAAATCATGAGCTTAATCACGGCTCATTTGCCGAGTCTCGCGAATCCCCTAAAGAATCACCCTACCTCTAACATGGCATATACAGTCTCTCAGGAGAATATGAGTAACGAATCACGGTCAGCTCCACTAAACTCGGAACATGGGATACTCTACCGCGTTACATGGTCCATTGCCGCAACCGTAGTATCGGGTCAAGTCCCTGGTCTTCATAGAGGGGACCTTGGACAAGGAGATTCTGAGGCTGTAACGATAAAGGGAGTGATAGGGTAGGTGCTTTGAATAGTGGGTTTAGACATAACAATATGGTTTCGAAGGTGGCATTATTTCCCACTCCTGTTCTTGAGAATTTTCAAGTTTGATACGGGAGTATAAGTGAATCACTATAAATACATAT